AATTCATGACAAAGGTGCCGCCTTGGACAACTGTTTCGGCTTTGTTGATGGAACGGTTCGTCCCATATCAAAACCAGGAGTCAATCAGAGAGCTGTTTATAATGGCCACTAGCGTGTTCACGCTCTTAAATTTCAATCCTTGGCCCTACCAAATGGAGTGACTGGCAATCTGTTTGGACCAGTTGGTAACAGTATATTCATTCATCTTTTATAGTGGGATAGTGCCGTAGCTGTTTTCACTTGGATAGACATTTTTATCACTTATGTGAACTTAAAAGTTAGATTGATTTCTTTTCTCACAATGTTAAGCTGACGTTTCTTGATGACTTCCTCAAGGTCTCTCAAATCAGAGGTATTTTCAGTAGCTTCCACTCCCAATCGTTATTAGAGGAACTGGTTTTCCTGTCACCACAGACCAATAAATTCTAAATTCTGACTTATAGGCCATAAGTACCTGGGCTGCAAGAATAATAGCCAGCCAATCCTATGTTGTTTTTGGCCTACTCACTTACTAAGCTAATCAATGGTCTACATAGGTAACAGTTTGTCAGCCAACCAATGTGTAACTGATTGTGGCTCAGAAATTATTTTTTTTGCTCTTGTGCGGAGGGACGAATGCATGATGCAAGAATGCTGGACACATCTGGCCTCTATGTTTACCTGGCACAGTTTGCCTTTTCCCCTGCTGGACAGGAGATGTGTATCTACGGGGATCTGGCATATCCTCTACGTACCCATCAGTGGTGCCCCTTCAGATATGGGGTGTTAACAAGACAAATGGAAGAGTTTAATGCATCTATGAGTTCTGTACGTACAAGTGTGGAATGGTTGTTTGGAGACCTTATGAATTATTTCAAGTTTCTCGACTACAAAAAATCTCAAAATTGGCCTTAGCCATGTTGGAAAAATATACATTATTTGTGCACTTTTGCAGAATGCTTTAACATGTCTTCACCGCAATACAACTGCTGACCACTTCGGCCTTGACCCACCACCACTAATCGATTACTTTAGCTAAAATACTGTAACAAAAACACCTGTCAATGCCTAAGTTTGCATAAAATCTTGCATAAAATCCTGATTGAACAGTTTTTGTGGGAATGTTACGACAGGCAGATCTAAACAAAGGAGTGGCAAATAATACTTTGAGTACAACATTTTGTGAAAATGTAAATCTTAAACATGTAAACATCAACAAATAAGAATTTAATGTCCACTTGTTAAGCATTTGACTCATGATGCCCATGACCTGCTGCATTATGAGCATTTGTTGCTGGTGGAATTGTTGCTGTTGATTTTGCAGTTGTTGCTGCTGAAACAGCCGCTGTTGTTGCTGGTGCATTAGCTTCAGCATATCAGCCTGTTGTTGTTGCACTTGAA